AACTTATCTATGGGATTCGTTATAACTGATTCCCTATAATAGAATAATAAAAAAACGTTAGTTAACGTTTTTTTAATAGTTTCGAAAAATATTTTTTCAAAACTTATCTATGGGATTCGTTATACCGATTCCCTATAATAGAATTAAAAAAAAACGTTAGTTAACGTTTTTTTAAAAGTTTCGAAAAATATTTTCGAAACTAATCTATGGGATTCGTTATAACCGATTCCCTATAATTGTATATTAAAAAAAGAGTTTCGAAAAATTTTTCAAAACTCACCTATGGGATTCGTTGTAACCGATTCCTTATAATAGTGTATTAGAAAAAAAACGTTAAAAACGTTTTTTAATAGTTTCGAAAAATTATTTTTCGAAACTTACCTATGGGATTCGTCCCTATAATTGAATATTAAAAAAAAACATTTTAAAAAGACGTTAAAATGTTTTTTAATACAGTGCGGTACCTCTATAATAGGTACCCCTTATATCTTGTAATCTAATGGTCAGAATTTTATAAAATTTTAAAATTAGATAGCTTTTAAAAAGATAAATACATTAAGCAAATAAAAAAATTTTCTCAATTTTTTTTTGCTGACATAATACAAAATCACATGACTTAAAATAAATTTGATTGGCTGATGCAATACCTAATGTTAATTAGAATTATGCATAATTTTTTATATATAATTTATTATTCATTATAATTATTTAAAGTAATTTGATTAAGTATATTATCAGGAACTTTTCTATGGGATTTATATTTTTTTTAACAAGTTTTCCCATGATTCCTTTTTGAGAAATAGATATAATCTAATTTGTAATAAATAAAAACTACCAAAATTTTTTTTGAATTTTTTTTCAAAATTTTTTTAACAAAGCATGGGTAAGTTTATAAGCTAAAATGATTTATTTGAATAAGCACTATCAAATGATTATTTTTTTTTTATGTTACACAAAAATCACTTATTCTCAAATTTTTCCCATCATAATAAATTACCTGAACTTCAAACTTATGTAGCACTAGCAAAATTTATTATTTTTTAATCTAACCCGATAAGTTTAAAAGCTCTTGAT